CTCCCTCTGACCTTCCTCTCTCTCATGCTCTCTCTCATTCTCTCTCTCAAATAAATTAAAAAAATCTTAAAAAAAAAAAAAAGAATCCAATATTATAAGATCTACATTATCTATAACAGGGGCTTGGGGGAGCACAAGAGAGGAAAAAAATGACTTAGTTTGGGGAGTGAGGGAAGTCTTCCGGAGGTGGTATTTTATGAGCAGAACCTTAAAATAATGAAAGATTTTCGCCTAACTAAGGAGTATGTCAGGGCCAGGGGAAAGCGTACAAAAACATGAAAGAGATTCAGTGTTTGGAAAACTGCAGGAAGTCTTGATATCCTGTGCCATAATCTGGAGCGAAAAACACATTCTAGGTATCAATATGAAAGAGGTAAGGTTGTCGTGCTGCTGGAGATGTTGTTAAGACTTTCTTGTTCTGTTTTGTTTTTAATCAGTCAGATGCATTTTATCACGAGGCAGTAAAGATGTTACAGTCACCTTAGATGAAATAAATAATAACTTATTTATAGTTTCTGATTGCTTCCTTCCCAAAACGGTTTGCTTTGACTTGTAACAACAGACACATCCACAATAAGACTGTTCATATAGAAACAAGAAGCAAAAATCACAACGAGAATAACATTGTTTCCTAAGTTCTTTCTCCTTCCTTAAATCACTTGGTGTTCAGGATAATTCTCTGAGGATGGGCCGCAGCTTCCGTCTGGCTCAGAGACCAGCATGTAGGGGTGCTCTTGTAAATGCCAGTGAGTGCAGGAGATCCATGGGTGTTTTCCTCATTTTCCAACTGATGCCACAGATATTTCCTGGTGGTCTGGTTTCTTCAGGCATCCATCCCCTCACAACTGTCAGTGGGTATAAACATCTCTACTTTGCTGTCCTTCAGAATCATTGTGTCTGTTTGAGCTTCTTCATCCAAGTTACTTTCAGATGCTCTTGCTCTTTTAAAGTGTTCCTCCCCTTTTTAAATTACTCCATGCATAAAACTTAGAAAACAGAAATTCTCCCCCATGATCCTATAACAGAGGATGTCCGTGGCTAGTTCTTTTTTTATTTAAAAAAATTTTTTTACATCATTTCAGATTTTCAGAAAAGTTTTCCAGAATAGGACAAAGAATTCCTGAATACCCTTCACCCGGATTCCCCAATTCTTAACATTTTACTACATTTGTTTTCTCTCTCTCTCACTCCCCCCCGCCTTTTCTGAATCTGTTTAAGAAAAAGTTGCAAACATCATGCACCATTATATAAGCCAAAATACTTCAGTGGATATTTTCTAAAAACAAGAAATTCTCTTACATAACCATGCTGTTATTTTTTATTTTTTATGTGTGCCCTTCTATGCTTTTTTCTATGCATACATTTATGTATTTAAATTAAATAATGCATTGTTTTGCTTATATGTACTTATGATACCTTGCTCTCTTGGAGGGGTTAGCAATAAAGCCTGTATATAATCTCACGTCAATAAGTATTCTACAACATGATTCTTTAGCAGACTCTGACATTCAACACAACGGTTTCTGGAGGGCACATTTTCACAGGCCACTCCACTTCGGAGAAGGAAGCATTCTTGCACTCTTGCATGTCTAGTCACATATCAGTGGAAACCACTGCATAAAGGAGTAAAGAGGCCAGGGTACCGGACAGCCTTGGATGCAAAGTTAATCTTTATTCCGCAGCCAGTAGAGAGCCCATGAATGCTTCATAGCGAGGGAGAAAGCCAACGAGAGCTGGGTTTTCTGGAGATTGGTTTACCAGCATGTGCAGGAGGGAATGGACGAGGAAGCAATCAGAGCACCAGTCCATAGGTCCCTTCGGTAAAACGATCCCGGGCTCAAGGGCGACTCTCTGCCCAGGTAGATCAGAGCCTTCTCCAGTCTAATGCGCCCTCCTCTTTCCCATGTCTTTCAGAACTGGCTAAAGTGCTATGGCTATCTGCTTCCCTCTGGCTCTCGGGTGCCCGAGCTGCACTCAGGGAAGGCCTTACAGTCAGCAGTCTCCACTATGCAGCAGTTTTACGGAATCCCTGTCACCGGTGTGTTGGATCAGACAACAATCGAGTAAGATCTGCATAGGGCATCGTGCCTTGGAACCTTCCAGACTTACATTTGTGTTCATATTTGTCATGGGCCCCGTGTATATACCATGCCCATCCTACCTTCCTGTCTTTCAGTCCTGCAGTATCATCCTGGGAGGGAATACCCCAAGGTGCCCCTTCCTAGGTGAGCTGGGGAGGTGCTCTGCCCTAAATTTGCGGTATGACCTTGAACCCTTCTGGACCTCAGTTTCCTTATCAGCACAATGAGGGGTTTGGTGAGAGAGGGTCTTAAATCTCCTCTGACTCTAATAGCTTTTGGCTCTCGGAATCACCCCTCTGGCTTTCCCTGAGATGTACACATCTCGCTTGATACAAACAACTCCTGAAGGATAATGAGTTGGTAACTTGTTCCACTTTTTCCGTTTATCAAATATTGCTAAATGCCTACGTGTACCAGGCACTGGACTTGACCCTATGATCCCTGCCCTCCAGAGGCTCACCACCATGTGAAAAGTACAATCATCTGGCTGCACCAGCCTAGAACTCAGAAGGAAATGCTAATTTTCAGGGAGGTACTAAGGGGGTGATAACAAAGAAGCCAGACCATGAGGATGGTCGCATTTCCTAGGGGAGAGTACAAAAAGGAGGAAGAGACGAGTGATAGGAATGGAACCCAGGATGCAGGCTGAAAAGGAGCAGCCAGAGCGGGGCGGAAGCCAGGGGTTCTATGTCCTGGTACAGAAGGGGAGGATGGTCAGTGGGTCAGCTGCTGCAGAGTCATCAGTTAGGAGACCGAAGAGCATGGGCCGAGTTTAGTAGCCAGGAGACCAGTGCAGGTCTGTGGACGGGTGGAGACAAGTTTAGACCGCAGTGGGGAGGAGGGGAGATGATGAGTAGAGGTGTCAAGTGGAGGCAAAACTTTCTGGAAGCCTAACAGTGAGGGAGGAATAGAGGGTGGCTAGAGGTGGATGTTTGTTTGTTTGTTTGTTTGTTTGTTTGTTTGAAGAGGGAAGAGAATTAAGCCTCCTTACATTTGTTTGAGAAGTAGCCATAAAAGTCATTAAAGCTGCTGCCACGAAGGCCTGGCAGCGAGCTGGGGGAGGGTCCCAGGGAGGCGGTGAGGGCTGGGGGTCCCAAGCCCAGGTGGAAGCAGGGAGCAGGGCCCCAAGGCAGGGTGCAGGGAGGTGATGGGTGGTTGTGGATCCAGGGCGTGAGTCACCCCCTGAGAGAATCATCTCTCTGGGCCTCAGCTAGTTCATTTACAAAGGGGAGTGCTGGATTATGGCTCTCCAATTCTAGATCCCATTATTCTAAGCTGTTAAAATTGGGTTGAGTCTGAGGTTTTATGATCCTCTAATTCTGTACGAACATTTTCTATTCCTCGGATTCTCTGATTGCAAGATTGGGAACTTCTGAGACAATATGTTTGACTGTTGCTATGATGGCAGGACCGTGGATGCCGTGGCCCTGTGGCCTCCAGAGTGAGCTGGTTACAGAGAGGCCGGCGGAATTCAAAGCAGAGGTTATTTTGAGGGCTTTGTGTAGGCCTTGTGGCAGTGCATCCTGGGGCAGGAGCGCTGGTGTCTCTGCTGAGGCACCACCTGGCCTTGGGTTTTACTCTGTTCCAGAAAGCCCCAGGCCTGTTGGACATGGTTCAGAGAGTGGCAGGTGGACGGAGAGAGGAGGAGGTGGAGGGAACGAGCTGAGGGAGGAGGATGGCATTTCCCACTTGCAGTTCTGCCCCTTCTTTGTAGGAAGGCAGGGAACGTGGTCTTGGAGGCACGACAAGGGGGAAGGCGCTCACACTTAACCCCAGACCTGAGTGGGGTAGCCTGTTTGGGGGGGTAGAATTTAGAGACCTTAGTTTCTGTTCCAGCTCTGTGACCTTGGGCAGTCACTGCCTTTCTCCGGGCCTGTTTCCTCCCCGGGGGCCCCTCCAGGCCTAGCTCAGCCTTGCTGTTGCAGAGGCGGCTCCTGGTTCTTCCCGAGGATGTCAAGCAATGGAAGCCAGAGCAGCCTTTAAAAGTACTACTTTTGGAGTGCCTACCTCGGGAAATGGCGCACATTCCTTCATTCAGCATATCCTTGAGCCCAGACTTGTGCTAAGCCTGAGGAAAGAAAAGCCCCAGCTTCTGTTTGCTTGTTTTGTTTGTTAAGTTGCATTAATTACTAGTTCATTTATTCATTCAACTAAGTCCCCGTCCTGCCTCAACTGCTGTCTTCTGCAAGTTACTTGATTTATCTGTGTATCTTTTCCCTCCTCTGCAAAAATGAGGATAAATCATTTCTCACAGAGAAATGTTTTGATCCCTCACAGAGTTGTTTTGAAGAATCAAAAAAATGCCTTTAAAAGAACCCCAAACACTGTAAAAATTAGAAACTTTTATACCAATACATGATATTGTTATTATTAATTTTTTTAGTACTAATTTCTGAGTAGAGGCACTCAAGGCAATAGGGAGGCTGCAAAGATGAGTAAGACCTGATTAAGTCCCTCGAGGGGCTTTTAACATTTGGTTGAAATAGTCTCTGTCTCCTCTTCTCTATATGGCCAACAGCAACTGCTCTCAACAGCTGCACAAGAGGTGGACTGTGGCCCCTTCCAGCAAACTCAAGCTGTGGTTTAGTGAGTTGGTCATTAGGCCAGCATGAGGACATAAAATGCAAGGATGGCCTGGGCCCCAATAAACACGATCTTTTAAAATCTCCTACCCTGCTCCTTTTTTTATATCCCCAACGATGTCCCAGGCTTACGGTTCCCTAATGTCACTTAACCTGACAACAAACAGTTATCAGGATTCACTTAGTTCCAGGCACTGGGCTAGCTTCGGGGGACACACTGATGAATACAATGCCATTCCAGTCCTCAAAGAAGTCACCATTTGTTAGAGGCGATAGACTAATAGATTTAAAATCACAACACAGCGTACTAAGAGCTGCAGAGAATTCTGTTCCAAGTCCCACAGTTGTTTAGCCACTTTCTGAACACCTCCAGTGAAAGGGAATTTGCTGTCTTATGAACTCTGCCATTCTACTGCTTGGCAGTTCTGATTCACCCACTCATTCATGCAGCAAATCATTAGCAAACATCGTCTGTGTTAGGCACTGCCCAGGCAAGGCTCCTATGTTCATGGAACTTAGACTCCGCTAAGAGAGACAAAGAATAAACAAAAAAGCTAATATATGGTATAATTTCAGGCAACGATCAATGCTATGAAGAAAAATTAAGCAGGATAAACAGATAGCCATAGGATGGGAGGGGGGAGCTACTTCAGAGAGGGTGGGCAGGGAAGTCCTCTCTGAAGGGGTAACATTTGAGCAGAGACCTTAAAGAAGGGAACAGACCATGTGAAGAAGAAGAGCGTTGCAAGCAGAGGGAACAAAGACCCTGACATGGAAATCATCTTAGCATGTGCAAGGCCAGCAAGAGGGCCCCTGTGGCTGGGGGCCGAGTGTATGGGGCGGGGAGGGGATGAGGATGTCGTCCCACATGGGAGACAGGGGCTAGATCATGGGAATCTCTATGGGGCAACATGAGGAATTTGCATTTTATTCTAGGTGTTTGGGGAAATCATTGGAGTGTTTTAAAGCAGGGAGTGAGGTGACCTAATCCCATTGACAGGGTATTTCCACATATACTCCCTCCCTTAAGGCTTACCACAACCTAAGAACAGTGAGAGCTAGAATTCTCGTGTTGCAGAAGGGGAAACTGAGGTTCACAATGATTCGCTTGCCTGGACTCCCACGATGTGGTGGAGCTGGAACCAGGCCTCTGACCCCCCAGGCTCGAATGCAGCCCTGTGTCTTCGTAACAGTTGTGAGTGAATGAATCAAGTAACCGGTGGATCGTGTTCCCGAGGGGGAACCCATCAGAGCCAGGACCCCCGAATCCAGGGTGCGGAGGCACACTGCCATTTAGACCAGGACTGGGAACCCTGCAGTGTCTTCCTAGAGTGTTCAGTGACCACAGTATGTGTGTGTGTGTGTGTGTGTGTGTGTGTGTGTGTGCTCTCTCTGCCCAGGTGGATGAAGAAGCCCCGCTGCGGGGTCCCCGATCACCCCCACTTAAGCCGCAGGCGGAGGAACAAGCGCTATGCCCTGACTGGCCAGAAATGGAGGCAAAAACACATCACCTACAGGTGCTTAGACCCCCCCACCCTTCCCTGGCTTCGGCTCCATCCGCGCTCGGGGTTGTTGCCGCCGCCTGAGTTCCAGAGGCCCCTGCTGTAGGTGGTGGGTCTGTGATGGGGGTGAGAGCCAGGCATGGGGGCATCAGGACCAGGTGCTGAGAGCCTATGACTTCGTCCCTCTTGTGGCTTCCAGAGGATGCTGTGTCTCCAACTTCAGGTGTGTTTGGTCCTTTGGGGACTCATTAGTTGTGTCCTGTTTAGATTCCTACAGTTTTTAGAAAGTAGGGTATGGATTGTTTGGCAACTTTCCGCTGTGATAAAAACAAAAACAAAAACAAAAAAAAACGGGGCTGAACGCACTCTCCCTGTCCTTGCTTGCCAAACCCCACTCCCTTTGATCTGGATCTCTTCACCACTGAGCCCGATAGACTTCACCTGAACTTCCCAGCACAGTTCCAGTTGTCTCCTAAGGAACTGAATCACAACAGTGTCGCTCCTGAACTAGCTGGGGAAACCAAGGGCAGAGGAGGACCAGTCTCCAAGTCAGGCCAGTGACCAAGGACAGGGATGATGGGGCCCAGCACAGCAGACTCAGACAGCACGATTCAAAGTGGGGCTGAGGCAAAGGCCAGGCATAGAGTAGGCTCAGATGGGCTCCGGTTGGCACCTCTCAAGGCTCTGAACCCAGGGAGATTCCCTGGATTCAGGGGTAGATCTAAGATAGAGATCCTTTTTTTTAAGACTTTATTTATTTATTTGAGAGCGAAAGAGCATGAGTTGGGGTGGAAGCTCAGAGGGCAAAGCAGGCTCCCCGCCAAGCAGGGAGCCCAACAAGGGGCTCGATCCCAGGCCCCTGGGATCATGACCTGAGCCCAAAGCAGACCCTTAACCTACTGAGCCACCCAGGTGCCCCTAAGACAGGGATTCTTAAAGCTGAAGAACGAAGGGCTCTTCTGCTGATGAGCTATAGAGACCAGAACTTGATTTTTTCCAGAAATCTGACAAGAGAAGGAAACATAAGAAGAATCTGGGTTAGAAACTGGATAGACTCTTAAGGTCTCCTGAAGAAATAGAATGAATCAAGAGAAAGAAGAACTGGCTTCTAACCTTAACTTCTATCACTCAACCTCTCTGGGCCTCAGTTTCCTTACCTATAGAATGGGTGAATAATCCTTAACCAGGTGTTCATGGGGCAGAGCACCCAGTAGTGATGCTCTGTTATGGAGAACCATTCAATATGGTGATTGTAATCTTAAATCGCTAAGTGTATAACTGACTACATCGGATACCACCCTATACCAACTTCCCAGGTAGAAAGCAGTAGATGGGTAGTTGGTACCAAATATTTGTAAAAGGGATGTTTCACTTAAACTCTCCACTGTTTAAATATTTCTATAACTTTTATAAATGTTTTATAAACACATTTTATGTATTGGGAGAAAACTTAAAATTTAGAAAATGCTATCCCCCTACTTAATTTTTTTCTGCACATTGGAATGGAATTCTGTATTCAACACAATTTTGTGAGAGATCAAATATAAAACCTCGATTGAAGCAAAGCTCCTGGGACTGAGGCAGGGGTGGGGACCCAGAGCCTTGCCCACCTGGCCTCTTCTTCAACCCCAGGGGTACCTCAGCAGAATCCTAGGGTTCAAAATTTGAAGATGACTGGTCTGTATGGTCTCTGGTGTCCCTTTTAGCTCTGCAAGCCTCTGACTCTGATCGTTCCTCCCTAATGACTCTCCCCTCTCTCACCAGCATTCACAACTACACCCCGAAGGTGGGTGAGCTAGACACACGGAAAGCGATTCGCCAGGCTTTCGATGTCTGGCAGAAGGTGACCCCGCTGACCTTTGAAGAGGTGCCATACCATGAGATCAAAAGTGACCGGAAGGAGGCAGACATCATGATCTTCTTTGCTTCTGGTTTCCATGGCGACAGCTCCCCATTTGATGGAGAAGGAGGATTCCTGGCCCATGCCTACTTTCCTGGCCCAGGGATTGGAGGAGACACTCACTTTGACTCAGATGAGCCATGGACACTAGGAAACGCCAACCATGATGGTAAGGCCATGAGGGGAACAGGGGGTCAGTCCTGGATTGCTCAGTTGTAAGGAAAAGAAGTCCTGAGGAAGAGCTTGGGATGCCATAGATGAATTTCCTGCTCTGGAGCTTCAGGTCCAAGAGCTAAGAACCCAAGAGGGTGGAAACTGAGGTCTCTGATAATGCTCAACATTGATCCATCCATGGAGTAGGGTCAGATCACTTAGTAAATGGTCTAAGGGGGGTGAGTCCAGAGGGAAGCGTTAGGCCGTGAATAAGAATATGAAGTAATGGATCAGAGGCTGGAGAAAAAGGTAAAAAAGTCATTCAAGCGGAATGTGGGGTCTGAAGGTGGTAGGCTCTGGCCTGACTGGTAAGGGTTTCAAAGGCCATCGTACAAGACAACATGATTCTCTCTCCTTTATGTCAACTTCACGGGCAGATAACGGGCCCCATAATCACTCTAGTATCCGTGGATAACTTGCTCTTCAGCACTGTAGCTCAGTGAATGTTTTATGGAACCAGAGTCATATTGTACAGTACTAGTAACAATACCCCTCAGCTTGCAAAAGCGTTCCTCATCAGTATTTACTCCCGAGGCACTTGCTTAGTAAGTAGGCAAGTGTACATCATTATGCCCATTTTTAAGATAAAGAGCTTGCGGCTCAAATGGCATAGCTGGTAGCTGGGAGCACCAGGGCTCGAACCACAGCCCAACCACCTGGTTGTGCGACTAGGGGCAAATGATCCACTCTCAGTCTCCTCGTATATAAAAGGAGGGACTGGACTGGGTGATCTCTAAGACCCCTTCCAACACCAGTGTCACATGATACACAGCCCAGGGTGGGGGGTATCCAAACATTTAAACAAAAAAGACATGGTCTCTGCCCTCTGATAACCCACAGTTGAGTGGGGGAGACAGTGTGTGTGTAAGTAACTCTGTCACAAAGCAGGCTACTGAAGGATGTAGCAGAAATATCAAGAAAATAAGAAAATGCAGAGGGATCCTGGAGGAGAAAGGGATAGAGGATTCTGGCTTTTAGATGAGAACAGGTAACAATTAGCATGTTGATATTCTAAGGCCTGTGTCAAGTGCTTTCCACATACTATGTAGTTTGTATATATTATTATTATCATCCCCATTTTACAGATAGGTAAACCAAGGTATGTAGAAACATTAAGTAGTCTTCCTATAGTCTCATAGTCGGTGAATGGTGAAATAAGGCTTTGAACCTGGGCATTATGAGTCTGGAGCACTCTTTTTTTTTTTTTTTTTTAGTAACCTCTACACCCAACATGGGGCTCAAACTCAGGATCCTGAGATCAAGAGTTGCATGCTCTACTGACTGAGCCAGCCAGGTGCGACCCTAGAGCACATACTCTTAGCTACCAAGCTAAGCTTCCATGGTTCTCAGACTGCAGGGCACACCAGAATCACCCAGAAACCTTTCTAAAGAATGTACATTCCAGGTTCCAGGCCCCTAACCTCTTGCTACTCTGATTCTCTGATTCTGGGGTCAGGCCTGGGAATCCACACTTGGTGTAATAAATGCTCCCGGCACCTCTGATGTAGGCGTTCCATCACCTTGAGAAACACTGTCTTGATCCCCAGAGTTTCCCTCACTTGTCTGGTCATAAGAATCCCCTGGGGTTCTTGTTATAAACAGATTCCTAGGTCTGTCCCCTGGGCATTCTGATTCTTGAACTTAGGCATGTCTGGGAAACACAGGGCATTCTTTTTCCTTGGGTATGCTTCAGGCTGAGAGCAGACTCCTACAGGCCCAGTTCCTCAGAGGCTGGGTCTGGTGTCTGGGCATGGGGCAGCCTCCTTGAGAACATTTCAGATCATTGCGTGGACCAGGGATTGGCAACTCTTGGCTTATCTGTCAAAGGGTGGTTTGGCCAAGGCTCAGCCTCGGCAAAGATAGGGAACTGTTAAATTTCTCTTTGTCCTTTGCCCTCTTCAAATGTTGGTCCTCTTTTCTATCCAGCGCCATTTCCTCTGTCTTGCTATCCCCTTCCTTCTGTCCTGGGTGTGCTTCCTGGCTTTCTGAACAGCTATTCTTTCTCCCCTTCTTATTGAATCAGTGTCAAGGAAGGGTTGTCTGTGCTAACTGATAAAGTGTGAGGAGAGACTAACATTTTTGAGCCCTGTTACGTGCCAGGCACAGTTAGCTGGCAAGATTTTAGTTATAGCCCTGATGGAGACAGATGAATTCTTAAAGGGATGTTGGCTAGCAGAGGCACCGGGAAGACACTCCTATTAACTCTGCCCTCCCCTTCCCAGCTCTGGGGTTTCTGCTGCCTGCAAGCCCTCCTTGCTGTTGGAGACCTGGGGCCCCATCTCAAAATCCCAAGAGCTTCCGGTGGTATATGTGGGAAGGAGCTGGGACTTGTGGATGGGCACAATCCCAGCATCCTCACGCCTGTCCCACCCCATCCTGAAGAACAATCGCCAACTCTGATAGATCGTCCAAGATGGCCGATGTCTTCTTTGGACAAGAGTCAGGAATTTTCTGTGCTCTGGAAAGCCAAGCATGAACTGTTCAGAAGCAGCCCCTGACCTTAGCAACAGGCCCCTGACAGGTGAACTGGAATGCAGCAGGTTGCCCTAGGACAGTTTCTGGAAGGAGATGAGAGGAACCAAGATTTATGGAGCACCTGTATATTATCTCGTTTAATTTCCACATAAATTCAGCGAGGGAGTACGTGGAGCCTTCCTGGGAACTTTGTGTTTATTGGCTTTCTTCTCTCTTCTAAATTTCCATTATGGAAACCTTCAAACTCACAAAAGAAGGTAGAATGATAACATGAACCCCCAGGCGCCCACCGCCCTGCTTCGGCCATTCCCTACATGATGTCACCGCCTTCATCTCACCTTCTCTCCCCCTGCCACTTTTATTTTCTGGCCGATATATTTTAAAGAAAATCCTTGGCACAATATCATTTCACCTGTAAATACTTTGGGACATACCTCTAATGGATTATTTTTAACACAACCACAAAACCATGATCAAACCCAAAAAATTTTTGATAATTTCTTAAAATCCAATTCCCAGTTTGGGTCCATTTTCCCAGAATTACCTCAGAAACATCCTTTACAGCTGTTTGCTTGCATCGGGATCCAGACAACATCCACATAGCATACATGGTTGACGTCTCTTAAGCTGTTTTCATTTACAGTGGTCAGCTCGCTTCCCCACCCCCAACCCTGATGAAGAAACCCGGTCACTTGTCCCAAGTATAGGCATTTGGTTTGATGAGATTCAGATCCACTTTTAACACACCTCCCTTCCTCCTATATCCTGAATATTGGTCAGCAGACCTACAGGCCTGACTAGACTCACTTTTGGGCAAGAGCTTCCTAAGTGGCGGGGGTCAACCCTCCTGCGCCACACCGGGACGCTCGGCCGTCCCACTGTTAGTGGTGCCAAGGGGGAGGGGCTGACTCAGGTGTGTCAGCCTGACCCAATCACTATAAAATTCTTAAAAAAAAAAAAAAAGTTACTCAAGTCCTAACCCCAAAGTCCTGACTCAGAAGCTCCCCCATCTGTGTGTTTAAAAGGCTCTCCTAGAGAGCCACTGGATGGAAGGGTGGAAGGGTGATTCTGATTCTCCACGTCATTGGAGTCTGTGTGAAGGGCAATGTGGCCCACCGTGCCTTCCAGCTGCTTTCGGGGGCTGCTTCCAGGCACCTGCTGTCCTCATCTCTTTCCAGCGGGTCAAGCACTGACGTCTAAGTTCACTAAGCTCTAGTGAGAAGGGAACCCAGCCCTGCGGGGAAGGTGACAAGACAGGCAGAGTCACTGAGACCAGCCTTCACGGAGGAGAGCCCTTCTGCAATGGCTTCTGTGACTCTCCCTGCCACCCTGGGAGTCAGACCAGGCAGGGATCCTAGTTTCCCTTTAACAGATGAGCAAAGTAAAGTTTCAGGTAGTTATAAAAACACACACCGTAAGTGTCTGAGCCAGGTGGGAACCCAGGACTCTGAATTTTTAATAATCGCCCCGGGTTGGTTCTGCCACAGGTGGTCCACGGACCACCCCTGGAAAATCACTGAACGTTTGGCACTGCTCCCTACTGGCTGCTATCACCCAGCCCTATCCAGCACAAAGCCTGCCCCGGAGGAGCTCACAGTCCTGGGGCAGAAGAGAGCGTGTGCTAGTGGCTGTAACAGGCGGGGGGTGGGGGGAGGTTGCCATAAAGATGATTCAGATAAACTGCTGGGGGAGGTGAGGAGGGAGCACTCACTGCCAGTGGGGGAGATCAAGGAAGTCTTCCTGGAAGATGTGGCAATGAGCTGAACTTGGAAGGAGTAAGGCTATTCTGGGTGGAGGGGGCAGCACTGGCAAAAGAATAGAGGCAAAGGGAAATGTTATAATCTTTTGGGGGGTTGGAAGGGTCAATGAGATGGGACTTAACAAATACGGAGGTTCCAAGAAAAGGAAATGAAGCAGAGACAAGGCATATCTGAGTAGCTGAGTCAGACGTCTGGGTACTTGCGAGGAGGCCGCAGGACTTGAGCTCCCGGGCCCATGGGAACACTCCCTCTTGGGGATACTGGTCCTCGAGTGCAACTCCACGGGAGCCTGCTAGTTGAGAGCAACCCGCAGCTCTGTGCCCAGCAGCAGTGTGAGCACTTTACATACCCTGCCTCATCCACTTCACCCCCATTCTTAGGATGAAGGTACCGTTATTCCCTGCATGTTACAGAGGAGGAGATTTAAACTGTCACACGGTTGTGACATGGCGGGGCTGGGATTCGTGTTATTCTGGCTCCCTCAGACTCCACTTCTGGCCACTCTGCTTCCTTGCTTCTCACCCTCTCAGAGGGTAAAGACCCTAACAGCCTCCTGCCCATGAAGTCCTGGAATCTTCTCCATCCTTCTGCTTTTCCCCTCACAAGCTCCGGGGAGTTCTTCTGCCCGTCTCCCCTCTCCTTCCATCTCCCCAGAGCAGCCCCCACTGAACAGTCTCTTGGGTTTCTGTGCAGTGGGATGCCAGCTCCCCAGCTCCTCTCTGCCTTTCAGTCCTAGGAATCAACCCACAGTCCTCGTTCCTTCAAGGGCTGTGCAGGGACCCAGGTACAGGGGCTATCACAGTAATAGACACAGGCTGAGAACAGAGGTTTAGAGTCTTGCCAAGTGCTCAGAGCCCTGCTCCCTGGTTCCCAGCAGAGGTCCCTGTGGATGCCCCCCAAGGAAGAGCCTGGTCAGGAGACAAGAGGCCCGAACAGCTTGTCCCAGGTCGAAGAACAGGCGAGGAGCAGAGCCAGGCAGGACCGGCCCCCAGGAAGCAGAGCTGCCTTCCGCTGGCTCTAGTAGCTGCCTTTGTTTGGGATGGAGCTGAGAGATGAGCTCACCCTTCCCCGCTGCCAGAGGAACCAGGACCCGAGGCAGGAACTGGGGGCGGCCTGGCCTCCTCCTGCCAGCTTGCCCTTCCCCAGCAGAAGGCCAGCCCCAGGCTCTTGGCCAACCTTGCACTGATCTTGTCCGTCCCCACTTCGCTGAAGACACTGGTGGTGTCAACAAAGAGGCAGGCATGCACTCCTCTCTTCCCAAGGCCTTAACCAGGAAGCCCAGAGACAATCCCCAGCCCCCATGACCCTCACGGGGCCCTCACCTGCGCTGGGCAACTTAGCCAGTGACACTGGAAGCAGAGTAGGCACTAGGACTCCTGACCTCCTCCTGGGCTCCTGCAGCCTCCCCTGCACGTCAAGGTGGCAGGAATGAGCTGCAACATGCCTCAGGGCTGGGCAGTGAGAGGCAGAGCTCAAATGCCAGAGGTCAAGGCAAGCAAGAGGTTATAACTGGACAGACAGGGGTCAGGACTATCAGTACAACAGCCTGCCCAACTCCCTGTCCCTTGTGTTCCTTTCCCAAAGCTGGGGTTACTTAACCCCCCCACCCCTACCCCCCAAATCAGGCCTTGCTCTGTCTCAGGCCTGATCCAGAGGCTCAGAGGAGTTGGCTTAAGAAAGTCCGGTAGCTGGAACCCCACTGGCCTTGTGCTTCCCTTCTGGTCAATGGGCTTGTTCCAGGCACCGAGCTGCCATGTTCTGTATGCTAACAACAGCTACTAAGCAGCGCCACGCCCTTTATGCATATTATCTTATCCAGTCTTCGCATGACCCTATGAGGTAGGTATGATCTCCTCATTTTACAAATGAGGACATTGAGGCTCAGAGGGTAGACCTGTTGGCCAAGTTCACAGCGCTGGTGGGGGTAGAGCTGGAGATGAAGGTCTGTCTGGCTCACGGGCCCACGTGATGACCACCGTGCCATGTTGCCGCCTCAGCTTCGTGCTCGGGATCCCGTGTCCCACTTTCGGCACCTGGACCTTATTGTTTTCACTCGCATTTGAGTCCCTGCCTCGATCTTGGCCATGGTTCAGTTCTGTCAGGACTGAGGTCTTGCCGGACGGAGCGCTGCCTCGCAGTCAGGGCCCTGCCTGCCCCCCAGGCCTCCTGAAGCTGACCGCCTGCCCGCCGCCCCCAGACCTCCCCTGGCTTGGCCCTTTTCATCTCTCACCCAGACCCTTCTCCCAGCTTCCAGCCCAGCCCCACCAATGCCCTACCTCTGGTCTTCCTCCCCTCTCCTCCCTCCTCCAGCCACAGTGCAGCCAGAGTGACTCATCATGTTGCCACCCCCAACTCCTGTCTAAACCCCCCACTGGCTAAGGAGCCAATCCAAATTCCTTTGCGTGGCATCACAGAGCCCCACTTGCCAGCCTGGCTGACCTCATCTCTCTCTCTGCCCTCCCCTCGTGCTTTGTTCCAGAGCCAAGTGGAATGAGCCTGCTTGTCCCTGGGTCTTGTTTATAGCGTTCTCTCTGCCAGGAATGCTACCCCCACCCCTCCCTCTCCTACCCTCCGAGTCCATTCTCCTGACTAACTTCTTATCTTTCAAGAGCCGGCTTAAACTTCACCTTTATGAAGCTTTCCCTGGACATCTTCAAGTTTAAATCACTCTTCCCTTTTCAGAATCCTCACTTGACCCTTACAGACATCTATTAAAGCACCTGGAACATTAATCTCACTTATTTTGTTTCTCTCTCCAAATCCCCCATGTATCAAGGTTCCAAAAGGCAGGACTGTGTAGGATTTCTCTGTAGATCCCAGGGTCCAGCATAGGGCCTGACACAAAGCCTTTGCTCAGTGTTTGCTGAAGCAATGGATTGACTGACACCTAAGTGGGTGCCCTGGGCACCTCCCCACCCCCCTCTCCACAGGGAATGACCTCTTCCTGGTGGCTGTGCACGAGCTGGGCCATGCACTGGGACTGGAGCACTCCAACGACCCCAGCGCCATCATGGCACCCTTCTACCAGTACATGGAGACACACAACTTCAAACTGCCTCAGGATGATCTCCAGGGCATCCAGAAGATCTACGGTATGTGGCAGGGGAGAGGGGGCCTCTGCTCTGTCTTCGGGGCTGGACTGTGACTCCCTGCCTGAGGGGTTGGGGGGGGGGCACTGACATCCATCACCATAGCCGCTGTCTGACCTTTAGAGACTTCTGAGGTCTTTGCCTGACCCACTGGGAAACTGGGGGAGGGTCTGAGCTGCCAAAAGTGAGCGGAATCCCACCCGCTCCCTCTTCTCTACCTCCTCCCCCTCATACACCTCCCCCTCGCCTCCTGTGGTGCACTTTCAAGGGGACCCCCACCTCTAGGCAAGAGATTCTTTTTTTTTTAAAAGATTTTATTTATTTATTTATTTGAGAGAGTGAGAATGAGAGAGAGAGAGAGAGCACATGAGAGGGGGAAGGTCAGAGGGAGAAGCAG